TCTCTTGAGCTGACCTCTTTGCCTTGAATTGAATTGGCCCAGCAGAGCCCCTCAGAATCCACTATTTTTGTTGGAACTTTTTGTTTTTGTTTTAATACTGTAACAAGACTAAGACAAGGATATTGTTGAGAGAGCTTGTCTGCAGCCATCCACTAATCATGGAGACAAATTTAAACACCTTTTAATGGAATAAACCCATGCCTATATAAGCTGTAACTCCAGAAGTAATACTTTTTATTTACTCTTGTTTATACTCAAAATATCTCAAACCAGGACTTAAATAGATCATTGTATACCAGTTTTCATTGCAGCAGTATTCGCAGTAGCCCAAGAGTAGAAACAGCTCAAGTGTGCATTAACAGATAGATGGAAAATAAAAGCAAAATGTGATCTGTGCATTCAGTGGAATATTATTCCACTATATAAGTAAATGATGTTTAATACATCCTGCCACATAGATGAACCTTAAAGCCCATGCTAAATAAGCCAATCCAAAAGGAACGAGAGTGGAATGTTCCGCTTATATGAACTGTGGAGAAAAGTATATTAACGGGGACCAGGGAAAAGGGGGGCCAGTAGGGGATTACTATTGGAGGGAAGAAAAAATTCCAGTGAATAAAATTTGAAAAATAATATTATACAACTTGTGGGAGAAAACATGATTAACACAGAACTTTGCATTTAATTAGTGTTAATTATATAACAGCTATCTGTATTATAACTATCACAAGACAGCCAAGGGAAACTAAATTATAGACATGATTTCAGGTAGAGCTACTATAGACTCAACACCCAGATTTTTTCAGCTTTGTATAATGTTGAGAATATGCCTGTCAGGCTTCTTATAGTTGTAGCATTTATAGGGTGTACGCTGAAACCAAACTTCAGGAAATTGTGTAATGCTTGTTTAAGCTCAAGTATCTATGTCAGGCATTATAAGGGGTTTAAAGCTGTATTGTGATAGACGTTTTAACTTATTTCCTATGGAATATCAAGTGATATAATATCTAGGTATAATTCAGAGCTTTAAGAGGGGTACAGAGCATGGAGATTGAAAGAAGTCACATTTAGTGCAGGTATTTGGAAGTCTGTATCATTGAAGCAGCACTTAACTGAATTGCTTTTTAAAGTGTAATCCTACTTCATTATAAACAAATGAATACAAACATTAATATATAAACATTTAGGCTGTCATGGGAGCCCTGGTAGTTCAGTGGTTAACTAAGTACATGGCTGGCAAACAAAAAACCAGGGAGAGGTTCAAAACTCAGCAACTCTGGACGACAAGACTGGGGAGCACAACCTAGGAAACCTTATGGGGCAGTTCTCCTCTGTCATGTAGGTTCGCCATGGACCAAATCTGAGTTGGCACAGAACATGTTTAATGTGTAACACAGATATAAAAGGGTTTCAAAAGTCTGTGGAACAATGGGGAGAAAATGGAATTCCCCCATGAATTTCTTAAAGCCACCTATAGAAATGGAACAAATATAAAACCAATAAAAATTCAGCTTAACCGCATTAATATTATGGACAGAGACAAGTTGCCGAAATGAAATCTCAGCTTGCAATGAGATTATTAGAGTTTTGTGATTTAAAGTGATGTCTTTGAGTCAGGCTGTTTGAGTTTGAATTCTGACTTTCCTAGTTTCATTCTCTGGCCCTAAGACAGTTTGCATAGCCTCTCTGCTATAGTTTTCTCATTTTAAAATAGGGGTTCCTAAATTTTAGAACTGTTGTGACAAATAAAGGAGTTGTTAACATGTAAGGTGCATAAATAGGTTGGGATATGTTCAATAATTCCTGGCAATTAATATCATTACTGACTACAATAGTAAAGATGACTTTGAGTTCAGTATTCCTGCCATTAAGTGTCATGTGAGAACTCAGGTCTCCCTTTTGCATTCGAATGACTATGAAACCTTGATTTTGATCCTCAGCTGTTGCACATTTGACTTTTGTTCCCATGATTGCATCATTTATTTCCTTATCTCTGTTCCTTCCATTTAACTCTGTTGTTATTGAGCTGATTCCTATTCCTAGCAACTTATAGGAAAGGTTAGAACTCTCCCCTGGGGTTTGCCACATTTTTCGAACAACAGACTTCAGTTAGCAGCTGAATTCTGAATCAGTGAACCTCCAGGGCTTCTTTCTTTTCTCTTAAGATAGCGTGATCCATAACCATACACCCCTCTACAGGGGAAGAACAACAGAAAACATGGGGGAAGGGAGATAGCGGTCCGTGTGAGGGATGAGAATATTAACAATGTACAATCTACCAGGGGGTTATGAGGGGGTGGGGGGAGAGGGGGTGGAAAAAAAGCTGATAACTAGGGGCTCAATAGAGTGTAAATGTCTAGAAAAGAATGAAGGCAACATATGTACAAACATGCCTGATTCAGTTGATGTATGGATTGTGATAAGAGTTGTACGAGCCCCCAATAAAATGATTTTTTTTTAAAAAAGATAGCGTGATAGCAACTTATTTTCAAAGAGAAGGATCACCGTCACACAATCCAGACACCTGCCTGAACATTGTCACTTCAGTGAACAACCTCACAGCTACTCTTCTTTATTGGTTAACGCACACAGAATCACTGAGAATTCATTGCAGAGGTCTAGGCATCTCGCAGTTCTCTCCCTGTGACACATGCATGAAGAAAACAAAGAAAACAGTCGAAGGTGGCTTGGTAGCATGAAATTAAAGTTCATCAACTATAAAGCCCATGTTCATTTCTAGAGTACAGGTAACAGGACTGATCATATTTAAGATCATTCCTAGACATTAACTAGAGTATTTACTAAAGGTAAGGGTATTCAGATAGTATGTGTAGCTTATGCAAAATATGAGGATAAGAATATATGTATGGTCTGGGTCCCAGCGTCAATCAGTTAATGTGATTTAGAGAAACTATGGGATATATGTAGTGAAGGGTTAAATTGGGAAGATGAGTTACACAGCAGATTGAGAAATCAGAAGAGCATTTCCCAGACTCCTTTCTCTTCTGGTCTTCAGTTTAGTTTTGTATTTTGAACAGTAAAGTGGAATTAGCTGAATCATACTTGAGAAAAATTAATCTACAAACAGTGTTTGAAAAGGTTAGAATAGAGGAGTCCTTAAAGGAAAATAAAAACCGAAGAGGAGAAAATTAAAATATGTCAACCAAGAACATCCACAGCTTAAAAGGGCAATTGGAAAAAAGAGAAAACCGTGTATGAGAAGCGTCATGTTGTTACATTCATGGATTTGGCAGGTTGTTACCTGAAGATTCGTGGATTGAGAGATGTGGAAGGGTTGTGAGGTCGTAGCTGGAGTCAGTTAGTATGGATCTGTTGTGGAGAGTGTGACTGTGTATCTTTCTCCAGGAATACTCAACTCATTGGTGACAAGCAAAGTCGATGCGCTATATTGCCCAGGACTCGAAAAATGGCAGAAGATCCTGGGGACAAGGGATTCTAATGATTTCCCAATGCTTTATTGAACTAACAACAGGAACTCCTAGATGGGTAAGGATGCAAGTAAAGTCTAAAAGGATTTAAGACTTCAAGGAGGAAATTCAGTAGAGGAATAGTGTGAAAAGAAGTAGAAATGATGGTCAAGTTTTTAACAGTGTGAGATATTGGAGCTGAAGTACTTTAAATATTGAATCGAATTGGTGTATGCCAATTGGTGCCTAAAGTGAAGTGTAGTTGGAAACTTAATTGTAGTTGGAGGTGGACAGGTCTATGAGGCCAAAGTGTTTATAGAAGATTCATTGAACAAGGTAGTGGTAGGAGATAGAGTGAAGGCAAGATTATAAACCTCATGGAGGCAGAAAATAAGAGGGTTGAATAAAACTGAGCTTCAACTGAGTATGGGATAGTTGGTAAGTCAAGGTTGAATAATAATGCAAGGGCACTTTGATCTTCTTTCTGGTATTTAAAAATCCTAGACACAGGTCCTACACTCACATACTATGATTTTGGACAAATTACCTAATCATTTAGTTTCTTCATCTGTGAGAGTAATGTCAAAATAGTGTTTACCCTGGTGACCTAGTAGATTACAAGTTGGGCTGCTAACTGCAAGGTCAGCAGTTTGAAACTACCAGCTGCTTCATGGAAGAAAATGGAGGCTTTCTATTCCCATAAGGATTTACAGTCTCAGAAACCCACAGGGGCAGCTCTACACTGTCCTATAGGGTCACTATGAGTCAGAATCGATGGCGGTGTGTGAGTTTTTAACCTTTTGGATTATTAGGAGGATTAAATTAGGTAATGTCTGAAAAGCTTATAGCACAGGGCCTATCAAAATGAGTATACTAGATACTCTTGCTGCTGCTGCTGTTGTTATTGATGATGACATTGAAATATATAGAAGATAGTACATTCCGTATAAACTGGGTTATACTTTGTGATTGCCATATAGAATAGTTATCACTTGTGGTAATTGGTACTCCTGACACTAATAAGTATTAATACTCGTATTCCTTCACATCTCTCACCATAAAGCATTCGGGGTTTATATCATAATAGAATGGACTAATGAGATATAGATTTGTGCCACATCAGAATCCATTGTAGGAGGGTTTCACTGGGTTGTAGTTCTAGAGTTGAAACTGGCAAGGCCAGGTATTAGGAATATAAAGGATTGGGTAGTAAAATCTAGAAAGTCATGTTAGCTGCAGGGAAGCAGACTGATGCTCCTGGATGACACAGAAATTCAGCAACAGAAACCCAAGTGTCAAATGGTAAGAGGAAGGAGAGAGCACTTCATGTTTTATTTTGTCCCTGATACCCTGTATTCTTCAAATGCCCTATGGAATCTCAGGTTTAGGAAACCATAGTTTTGACCATGGAAAGATGTTCATTTGAGTTCAAAATAACTTTGCTCACCGTCTTCAACCCTTGAAATCTTCTGTGTAGGAGTTTGTAAGATTTGGTCACATGGAAGTAAATTGTTGATTGTTGAAAAATTGCCTTCTGCTTCTCTTACTACTAAACCTTGTTATTTTTGACAGGTGAATGGTCAAGACTTAAAGAACCTGCTGCACCAAGATGCTGTGGACCTCTTTCGAAATGCAGGCTATACTGTGTCTCTGAGGGTACAGCACAGGGTAGGTGTCACTTGAAGCCATGCGCCTGGCACCAGGCTTTTGTATCATTCTTGGGAATAAACCCCGTGGGTGTGACCTTTAGTTATTTTTGATATTGTAGCTGCTGTTCTGTTTCTCCATTTGACGAGCTTGTCTGGCACAGGCAGGGGTCCTCTGATACTTCTCTTATTGCTAAAGAAAACCCATAATGTGCCTGCAGCCTGGTGCCTAGCTTCTAGGTAAAGATAAGTCTGACAACTAAGTTAAAATAGATTGGGGTTTGGGAGAGGATAGTCAATCTCACTTTTTAGTCGTGAAGAAAGCATCTCTGCCCTTGAAAACTACTAGATGACAAGTTGCAACCTATTCTACCCAGAGAGCAAAGATGATGACGGTTCTTATACCCACTCTATGCTTCTGCCTTTCACCAACCTATACCCTTCTCTTATCACATTGAAGACCCTTTTGACCCGAGCTCTAGTGGGAGCTCCAAGACAAAGGAAATCGAATTTCGTCCAAGTAGCATGTATCCCTGTGTCTGCTACTCAGTTCCTATGGTTGTTGCGAGGTGCTGTCAAATTAGTGCGAACGCATAACGCCCTGTGTACAACACTGTCCAATCATAGGCCGTCCTCCTAATCGTTGTCTTTGAGCCCACTTTTCTTCTGCCTTTCTACTTTACCAAGCATGATGGCCTTTTCCAGGGCCCAGTGTCTCCTAATAACCTGCCCAAAGTATGCAAGACAAAGTCGTGCCAGCCTCTCTTTTATAATTTGGATGCTAAGAAGGGAAGCACAGGTAAAGAGATGCCTCTCAGAAACACCAAGGATTTCTGAGTGCATTTATAGCAGTCTCCATCCTTTAAAGTTGCCCCTTCCCTTTTTTCTGCTATTTGCTTCTCTCGGTTCCTAAATGAGACTTCACAGGCTGAAAGAATTTGAGAGTAGATAGTAAGGAAGTGAAGACAGCAAGCCTTGAAAGATAGTTGAGAAAACAGCATACAGAATCCTGGTGTGATGGATCAGAACACAGGATGAGGAAAGACAGTAGATGAGGTCACTCCTTCTGCCTTGCTGTGTCCCTGTTTTTAACGACAACAACAAAAACGAAACTTTCCATCAAGTAGATTCTGACTCATAGTGACCGTCTAGGACCGAGTAGAGCTCTTTGGGTTTCTGAGCTTGACAATCTTTGCCAGAACAGAAAGCCATCTTTCTCTTGCACAGAGGAACTAGTGGAGTTGAGCTGCTGGCTCTCAGGTTAGCAGCCCAAAGCATAACCCCGAGGCCACCAGGGCTCCCTCTGGCTTTTGTAGCACAGGAGAATATGCAAATAGATTAAGGAAAGTAAATCTGAATTTACACTGCAAACACAGGCTATTTTAAGGCACATGAGAAGCAATTTAGAGCGCCAACATTTTTGAAACACCCATAAGTAACTTTTAGTAAAATAAACTCTTCTGGTCAGGGAATTGGACTAATGCCTAAAAACCATGTTTTCCTACTGAGCTTGTCTGAGGAAATGAATGAAAGATATGGAAGTAGAAGAAAGAGTTTTTGTGCAAGTCTTGCCTTTCGGATTCAGGGTTTTCCTAATTCCACAATGAAGAGGTTGAATTTAACTGAAACAAAATGGTAGCATAATTGTTGTAAATTGACTGTTGAAAGTTGATTTCAAGAAGGGCCACCCTGAACAACATCACTTAAATGAAGAAAACAGCCTGGCCTCAAAGGAAATGCCTGGATAATTGAAAATTATAGCCATGTGTTTATGAGTTATTTTTACTTATTTACATCTGAGTCTTTTACTGTGTCTAATACTATAAAGTAGTATTATAGAAGTCTGTGTCCAGTTTAATAAACTAGGAGAAGTATGGGAGTCCACTTTAATAAAAAGAGTGTATCTTCGAGGACTAAGAAAGCAATTCTAAGTCATGGCATTGCACTTACGTTACTATCAAACCCAGGTTAGCTCTCCCTGTACTCTAATCCTTGAGAATGTAAACATTCCCAATAATTTCCAGAGCAGACCCAGATTAATTCTCTCTCTTTTTTGCAACATTTTCTTTTTCCCTGTACTCATTGTTTTTGTTTTTTCAATTTGGGCAAAAATATGCACAACAAAACATTTTCCAGTTCAACAACTTCTACATATATAATTCAGTGACATTGATCATACTCTTCGTGTTGTAGAACCATTATTGATATCGGAGGTAGTTACATAATCGGGTCAATTTGGGACTTGAGAGGATTAAGAGTGAAGGGGTGGAGTCTAGTCTGTCAATCGGGTCATAGCCAATGAGGACTCTGTGTGGACATGGCCTTCTCCTGAGAATTCTGGGAACGCCTGTATTTTCCTCCTTGGAGGTGGGAGACACATTCTTTCATGGCTCACTCCGAGTGATGCTCTACTGACAAGACACATGGCACTACATTGATAGACCCCATGCCCTGAGAATTGGAGGGACCACGTGGAGACCTCTGCCAGCTGTGAGATGCTTCTACCACCACTGGATCCACAGGACTGCACCCACTGGCCTGTGATCTTCCTGCATTCGGTGTCATTGCTTGTGTTTTGTGAGTCTGAAGTGTTGGGGGAGAGAGCCCCTAATAAATCATCACGGGTCCGGTAGGCGCAACTGTACAGCGATAATAAGTAAAGATTATAGTAATATCATAGAGAGCACCAGAGTTAGAAGAGTGATTGAAATAATGGAGTCAGATACATGTCATGGTAGCATGCTCACCTCAGCCCTGCTTGGTGGTCCACGTGGACAGAGCCGGAGAGCACAAGCAGAGGTCAACTTTATTGCTTACCAAGGCTTATAACTACTTAGGGGTGTGTGATTACAGGTAACCACACAAGTCACAGGAGGGGGCAGTACAATAGGCATACACATCATAGGAAGGGGATGTACAATAGGCATAAGCGTGACAGGAAGGGGATGAGCTAGGAGTGTGCATGTGACAAGATGGGCAGACCTTAGATTCAATGTGGCAGCCTAACCGTGGTCACCCTTGGGTGGACTTGACTTCCCTGGGCTCTCCTTCAGGGAAACAATTTACTATCCTTATCAGAAGGGAGTGGGCCCTATTTATTGTGGGATAAACAGTTGTGTCTGCTTGCTCTGGATGGCTGATAACCCTTAGGGAGAATAACCCCTGACCTACTTCTGTTGACCTCAAAGTGTATAGTCATCTGCCACGTGTAGCAAGCAGCTAAGTTTGGCATATATTTGGGTGACAACTTGGGAGAAATCTTTCTGTTTCCCACATGAAGAGGAATTTATAAATTGGTATCAGACATATGGGCTAATATCGGACTTATGGACTTGATTTAGACTGGGCTGGGATGTTTTCTCAATATTCAATTGCTTTCGTATATAACCTCTTTCTTACACACATATGAGTATGTCTATGAATTTGTTTCTCTAGTCTACCGGGACTAACTCAATATCCATCTTTGCCAGGAGAAGCCAGCCCCTAGCACATCATTATGGGTCCGGTAGGCGCAATTGTTCAGTGATAATAAGTAAAGATTATCGTAAAGTTATAGAGAGCATGAGAGATAGAAGAGAAATATAGAGTCAGACACATTTCATGGTAGCATGCTTACCTCAGTCCTGCTTGGTGGTCCACGTGGAGAGAGAGAATCTTTAATGCTAACCAAGGCTTTTATATTCTCTGGGGACATGCTTGCCCCCTAATTACAGGGGAAGACATACGTCATAGGAAGGGGTTGTGCTATAGGTAATACAGTAATGGGAGGGGGTGATCTAGAGGTATCCATGCAATAAGAAGAGGAGAGATTGGGGGTATACATGTGGCAAGATGGGCAGATCCTAGATACAGGATGGCAGCCTAACTTTGGATGTTGAGTGTTGAACCATTTCGACCTGTTCCCTGGCTCAACTGATAGAGACCATTATTGGTAGGGTGTGAACTCCACCTACAGGAACCAAGCTAATGGTCGCAAGCTTCAGGGAGAAATAATCCATTGTCTCCAGCAGCAGCAGGGAGCAGGCCCACCCCTGTGGTGGGGCGAGACAGCAGTCTGGCAGCGATAGCCTTCAGGGAGGATGTCTAAGTATCTGACACCCCCCCCCCTACATCTTCAAATTGTTCTACCACCATTAAAATAAACTCAGTGCCTCCTGAGCAGAAACTTCCGCCTGAATTCACCCCATGGTAACCGCAGGTCAAATTTGTTTTGATCTTTTTTTTTAAGTAGTTTTCTTGCTATACTAGTCACATAGCATACACGTCCATAGTTAAACTGCTTCTAAAGAGAGTTGTATATACAGTACATCATCACACTCAACTCTAATACTCATTCGCTGATCGATTGCATCCCAATTTACCTCCCCTCCCCCAATTAGTTCTTACTGTACTCTAATTATTGATTAGATTATGTAAACATTTCCAGAAAGAGGGACACCCTAATAATTTCCAGGTTTCCTATAGAATCAACAAACTTCATCTCCTATCTCCATTTTCCTGATTGGATGCTCATAAGGTGGAGAGTGTACAAAAACAAAATTATCTGATTTATCCTCATGTGTCCTTTTAGATAAGTAGTACAGTGAGGTTAATTGCTTCCTGAATTGGGCTTATTTTCCTTCCAGATAATCCATGACATTGACATATTAAATCAGGACAAAGATATGCCAGCTAGTGCTTGGGGTTTGTAGTTTGGACTGTAGAACCAGTCGATATATTGACCTAGATATTTTAGCTTAGAAACATGCATGGGTCACTAGAGTTAATTTGCTTCTTTCCCTTCCAGGAACAAGTGCAGAATGGGCCTGTAGGACACAGAAGTGAAGGAGAGTCAAGTGGCATTCCCATAGCCATGATTTTGGTGCCAGTGTTTGCCCTCACCGTGGTTGCAGCCTGGACCTTCATGAGATATCGACAACAACTTTGACAAGCTTGCTTTTCTCCAGTGCCTCCGGGTGAAGAGACATTCTCTCACCCTTTCCCTGCCACTGCTCTCTTTCCCTCTGTCTGCCCAGTCAACACGTGACTGCTGTGCACACAGAGCCCTGCTGCTCACAACAGACTCTAACCCTCACATGCTAAATGGGAGCGTAAAGGTCTTCTCTGAAGAAAAGAGGAAGAAAGGACTTGTTCAGAAAGATCTGTCTAGCTACATTTCTAAGTCCATCGATGGGAGTTTAGCTACCACCAAAGAGGGAAAGGCCCAGTCTTCCTGTCGTCATGAGTGACACTGGTTTTAGCTGGCATGCTTTAAAGGCTACCTGTATAAGCTGAGAGGAAGACAGGATGTTCTTATTTATGATTTTTTGAGGGGACATTTTTGTGGCCTTCATTTAATCTCTTCCTAACTATGTACTAAGTTGCCTATATTGAACAGAGAATGATGAGAAGAACAATTTTACAACAAAACAAAATTTAAATACTTACATACCAACACACAACCACAGATATACACACGGAGAATTTGACGAGGCAACTCCTCATTTCTGTCCCTTACCTAAGGGACAATCTTAATTGAAGAATTTGAAGAGCTCTATTTTAAAGCATATATAATGAGATTGAGCCTTTAAAGAGTACGCCCAATCGGAGTCATAAAAAATAGAAATTTTAAGAGTGAAGTAACCACTCAGAAATTTTGCATGAACACATTTTACTTCTGTAATATGCACGGTGAAGTTGAAGTCCATTGGTATAAACCAGAGCAGTTTGTCCAGAAAGCATTGTGCTATAAAGATACGTGCCAGTGACATGGCGTGCCTCCCAGTGTTGTCCAGGCTCACCTGAAAGGGTTTGGGGTTGGGCTCTGGCAGAGGCACCACACCCATCCCGGGAGGAAACACTAAGTGGGAAACAAGAGCGAGCCTCCATGCTGGTCTCTCAACCCGCCTTCTTGATTCTAGTGGCAGTTGACACTTGAGAGAGGGGACTCTTCCTTTGGCAGAATGGGCATCAAAGTCCCGCTGTCTGGTTTTTGGTATGATGATAGGATTTGGATTGCTACTTTGTTTTCTTTCCCCCCAAAAAGGCTCTGCATTCTGGCTATTCCCTTCAATAATAAATGATTTGCAGGGAAGGATCAAGGGAAAGAGTCGCATTTGTTTTGTGGAATAGGAGAGTTGGGGGTGGGTCTGTCGGGGAATGCGTGGGAGAGGAGGAGCCTAAGGCATCGTGTGGTATAAAGTTCAACTTCAAGCACTAAGAAGAACTGAACAGACTAATTTTCTGTGTCTAAGAACATGAGTCCATTCTCCAAGTATACTGACAAGACACTGATTATCTTGACAGCAAGATTATGCAGACTTTCCCTCCATAGTGGTGTCCGGTTTTTTAGTCATTATTTTACAAATGTTGATTCGACATCGGCCATGTGAAGGCATTCTTAGCTAAGAAGTAAACATCTGGCCTCCATTTTTTTAAAAGGGATTTTTAGTTTCATTTGGGAAGAGAACCATCAACTAAAGATGGAGTTAATCATGCAGGCTGTGCAGTGTTAGTTTGTGTAGAATTTATATTGCAGATGCTCAAACAAAAGCTGCTGAAGTTGGAGCAATTGAAACAGTTCCATGAAAGAATGAGACAAAGGCGCTTGAGGAGCTCTCAGTCTCGTACAGATACTTCATAAGTCAGTGAGAAGTTAAAAGTGTATCATGGGGCTGGAAAACAGTAGTGAAAGCAATGCTATGTGATGCAACAACAACGATGTACAAACAACTATCACATATCTTTGGGAATTCAGAAAAAGAGCTGTCACTTGACAGGATCAGGCTAGAGTGGAAAAAGAAGACCTTTAAGACTAAATTCCCTGAGGGACTTTCTCATCCATCTATCATTTCTCAATGGTTGGGGAAACTTTAAACAATCCTGGCATTAACTATGCCTTTAGACCTGAATTGTCAGTAGCTTTGAGACTTCTTTAGATGACTACAATGGTAGGTTCCAGGGAGAACACAGTACTCCCATTGTCACCTCTCAACCAGTCCCTCGGTGGGGCTATGACCTCTGATGCCCTCTGAGTCTGAAGGCATGTGCACTGGCTTCTGTAGTCGCCCTGCTCACCTCCCAGGATTTACCCCCAGAGTTTGGACATTCACTCTTGAAAGGACTTTAAGTCATACCAAATCCCAAAATGAAGCAAATAGCAATCAGAAAGGATAACTATTCAGATTTGTTTCTTTAAATAAAGAAAATACCTATCCCATCTTTT